GTAATGGACAGTAGTGTTAATAAAAAAAAAAAAAAAAAAGAATAAATGACAGAACCCAAAGAAAGCCGATTGGACAAGGCCCGATCGTTCAATCCGGCGCGGAGCGGCCGCTTAATCGCGATTCGCAGTTTTTCCCGGTGCTCGACGGCCGCATCTCCTTGAGCAAGACGTATCGACTGGGATCTTTTCCGGGAGTCATTTATCAAAGCCTCCCCGGGCGCGGCACTCGATACACGCGGAGACCCAACCAAGGGGTTAGAGGGTTAGGCACGCTGCGATTCCCTGGATACACGGCTACTTTCCACCCTTGCGGACCAGCAGGAAGAAAGGGTGGATAATGGAGTAGAGGAAGAAGGGGAACGGTAGATGCGGAGGAAGGTGAGAAAGGCAGCCGAAGAGGATGAGTCAAAAGAAAAGTGTTGAGGAAGAAGCGGAGGGTTGCCCGACCTCCACCACATCCTCTGCTCGGTAGGTCGCAAAAGGTGGAGATTGCCTCGCGAGGTTCACATCCATCTTGCGGCTGCCTCTTTCTTTCGCACCCGCCCTCCTGCCCCATCGACCACCCACCGAACTTCCCATCCTAAATCCTTCCCGCAACCCTACCTTTCACCGTGGACCCACTTTCTAGAATTCGCTACACGCTGAATATACCCCTGTAAATTAAACATTTTCTTTATACTTTTTTATTTGTCCCCCTTCTATTTCCACCAGCTGATATCCTGCACTGGATGCTTGCGGCTTTCGCGGCGTAGAAACCTACTAGGCAAAAGCCCTTTCGCAAGGGCCCATCAACCCGGCAATGCGGCTGCCGAGCCATTCGACCCAATCTGGGCACGTGCTGCACTGCGCTGCTGATGTCGCTTGTGGCCAGTCCAACCGCTTGGCTTTCATCCACAGCTTCCCAAGTACTGCCTACGATCCAGTAGCTTCATTTCGCAGGAGCGTTACGAGGTCCACCCTACGTGCGAGAACACCTCGGCTTTGTTGCTTTTCTAAAAGTCCAGGAGGCGAGAGTGTTGCAGGACGGTTGCGTCACATAGGAGAGACGTTAGAGAGTACAAGGGATCGACGAGCATCGGGAAGATGAAAAAATCTATATTCCTACAGACTCTATGAGCGGATGAAAAATGATAAAAAGGGTGCAGCATGCGAATCGGATAAAAAGTCATGTGTCTCACTGAAATATGTCTATTTGATTAGGAGGCTGCTATATTGTCGTAGCGTGTATGGAGTGTGCCGGCGCATACGCAAATAGGTCGGCTGTCCGAGAGCAAATACATGCGCTTCAAAGATAAGACCGGTATAGGTACTGGGGATCGAAGGTAACGTCAGACCCAGGAAGGGACTGCTACTTCAACTTAACACAAAGTTCATTCTCGCAATATTGAATCGCTGAATCTATAGACAGTTCCGAGCAAGCGAGTATACGGCCGCCGTTGCTTCTATAAAATTTCATTTTTTTTCATTTATTTATTCGAAAATACCTACCGCTCTGTCTGTCGTCGTCCGTGGCTTCCGAGTTACGTACTTCGTAGGTGAATCGTACGTGACAATAGAAAGTCCTACAGTACCTGCATCTGTATGCAGTCATGAACCCAAAGGTGGATACCGAAGCTGTGTTACGTTGCGGTGCAGTTGGCAATGTTCCAGGTACGGGTTAGAGACCGAGGGTGGTGAACGGCAATGGGATCCTGAAAGGGTGGGAAGGATATGGAAAGTGTGGGGGAGGCCGCGAGGAGCGGGAAGTGCTCTAATTATTAATCAAACATATTGCGCGACTCACTCGCGCCTCACTCGAACGGGAACGCGAGTTATAATGCATTTACCGAGAAAATCGAATTGCCCACTCGCCATCATACTCTGCCAGCACGTACCTCGTCCGCAGCCATATACTCATATGTGACTACGTGACATTCGGAGGGTGGCTTTGGCTACGATGTAAAAGTACCGGATAATTTCGTTAAAGAGGCACACCACTCTGATATACATGTATGCCTATAGAATGCATTTATAGATAATACGGAGAATTATGTAATTTCTCAAGAAGAGATTCGTAAGTCACTCTGCCGCTGCTGGCCCACTTGTATCATTCAATTGACGCTGCATTCGACGGAGGTTAGATTACTTACCTCTGTCCTACTTACTGCCAGAAATAGGCCGTTCAACTCGTCCGACTAGTTTCGGTCCTTTAAATGGGACCCGTCCAGGTTCATGACCTCGTTCAAAGAGCATGAATCTATTCCGTGCTGGTTCATCTGGACTATGTACATGAAGCATCCCAGACAGGCTACTCGCCAGTCGTCAGGTCGATATGTACATCTGTGAATAGTATACAAAGGAAAAATTGTCAGCTAGAGTCTGTTTCAAATTCGAAGTACACTCCGAATACCTTGAGAGGCAATGACCCTTCGTGTATGGAAACTGTTCTATGAGTTTCAGTTTACTCGGAGAGAAGGGAATGTATGGTAAAAGAGAAATTTCACGGCGCCGGTTTTCTCAGCGACATAACTATACTCACTGATATAAGGTTGCACGACGAACCAGAACCTACCTTGTACTAGAGCCAGTCGTCTCACGGAGGTTGACAACCCTGTAACGGGCCAATAAAGGACCGTGATCTAAGCCCAAAAACTTTTCTAATTCTTGCGTAACCGGAAAGTCTAGTTCTTTCCTTCTCGCCGACTAGACTCGGTACCGTTATTTTCTGTCTATTTAGACCTAAAAAATACATTTGTCAATTTTGACAAAAGACGAGAAATAATTAGCGCAGCAATTATTGAGAAATACATGGGCTGTAAGAAGGGTAACGAGTAGGTCTCCGTATACTAATTAAAGGCTGCCGACTCGATTTTGGATTTCTTAAGTATTCTGGAATAGACAAAAAAAAATAATGGTAACCCCTTTCAGGAAGTTTGAATGCCGTCGCGTTCCAACGACAACGCAATCGTGCGAGGTACGTTTTTTTTTTCTTTTTCATTTTCGAAAAGTCAACCGAAACAGTGAAACGAACGGAAAGAGTAGAAACGCGAGGATGGCTCGAAAGACGAGACGAAAAGATGTGCCTCCGGAATTGGAGAGGTGGGACCGCTAGCTATATAAGTACGAAGAGTAGGGCCAAGAAATCACCAGTAAAAGATTAGCCGAGTAGAATTGGTGGTGCCCGCGTTTATCATATCAGCTGGAAGCATCGTGCGAGAAAAGATTTCGGAATTAGCTCAAATTTGCTTTTAACGTCAAATAAGCATCCTGATATTGTGAGATAATTCCGATGGATAACGTCGAGGATTACGTTAACAGTCACGATCTTCAGCGTCGCGACGCCAGCGACGTAATCGAGGAATTCATCGACGAGGTTGCTCAAATGGATGGGAGATGCATCGACATTGGATGTGGTCCCGGTGACGTCACCAACGATATAATCTTGCCACGGTTAGCCAAGGATGCTGCGATAGTTGGTAAAACATTCAGATCCATCGTAGGATAATTAAATTTTCTACGTTATCAAATATTTTTCCTAAGGAGCCGATATATCCGAGAAAATGATTAAGCATGCCAAAAAGAAATATCAGAACGAGGAGAGACTGTCGTTTCTTACTTTAGATATACAGACGCCTAATTTGCCCAACGATCTAATAGGGCAGTACGACAACGCTCTATCCTTTTATTGTTTCCATTGGTGTCAGAATATAAGGTAATTTGGATTTGAATATGCCGAAAGATTACTACGCCATGATCACCGAAGGTAGAATTAAGCGAATTTATTTTTTCACGTTTATCGCATTTCCATCAGCCAAACCTTCAGGAATATCTATGAGATTCTTCGACCAGGAGGAAAATCTCTAATCGTCTTCCTCGCATATAATAGTGGTTTTAACGCCTACGAAGAGCTTTCCAAAAATCCTGACTATCGGCCTTATATGAAGGTAAGAAATTTCAGGATTGAATATCTTAATCCACTATTGACACAGAATTCAGAATAGTTAAGGGTGCTTTCACACTGATTCACAGGATATTCGGAAGTACATTCCGTTTTTTCATAACTTGGCGAATCCTCGAGCGCATTTAAAGAAATACATCGAAGAGGCCGGATTCGAGATTCTCCATTGCAGCAGGCGAGAAAAGACTTTTGTATACAAGAATTTGGAACTGTTTACGGGTGTGTTTTTGTCTGTTTGATAATTGTTGATAAATGGTTAAAAGGACGGAGGGAGGCTGGATTCGAACCCGGGACTCTCAGTATGCGAAGCAGACACTCTAGCACTATGCTACGCCAGAGAATGAGTCCTTTTGACAGCTTATAAAATGTATATAATTTTATTTAATATTTTTTTTTTCAAATAACGTTTCAGAACACGCACTAGCGGTGAATCCATTTATTTCACGTATTCCGGAAGATATGAGGGAACAGTACAAAAATGAATTAATACGTACGACCATAAACGAGAAGATCCTTTTTACCGAAGAAAAGCTAAATCAAAAGGAATACAATATACTCGACAGATATTATATATTTGTTGCATATTTTAGGAAACCAATTGATAAAAAATTGTGATATATTAGAATCCAATAGAGATACCGTTGCGTATAGTGTATTATAAAAATATTGCGACCGAAACTACATGCAGTATGGTTAGATCAGGAGCTATATTGAATACACAGACCATGGACCAAAATTAAAAATTTTAAAAAAAAATGAAAATGAATTCCAGCTTAAATAGGACAATTAGGAATGAGAACGATGTAATAATAAAATTCGTATGATAACGAACGAACGAGGCGCTGTTGGCTGATGCTCCTATCACATAAAGTTTTATTAGACTAAGTCTTTGATTTTACAATGTAATATAGCCATTCATAGAATATCGTTATTCATAAATCGTGTGGATATACATGGTTGTGACGGTACCGTTATCAAGGTACAGCAGGTAACAATTTTTCTAATCTAATTTCTATAAAATACACTCAGATTCACAAGATATATCATTCGCGATCCGTGTTAACTCGTTACACGAAAATTGCGCAATAATCCCAACGAGCATTTGGCCGACCCAACGTCTCCGGATAAATCGAATCGGCAAACGTCGTCGCGACGACCCCTGGCACATTATTACCTAAACTAAATTAAATTTGTCGATAAATAAGAAAAAAAAAAAAAAACAAAGAAAAATAGACGAGATAAATGCAAAGTAATGCCTCTTTGACTTGGCCTGTCGCGACGTTTCATCGTTCGTCATTATCGTGTGCGTGACCCTTCTTCCACCATCAATCGATAAGAATCGACTGATCGAAAAAAAAAAATTAATCGATCAAACGAAAAGCTGCCTAACAGTCGTACGAAATGACGGATCCGAATGCAATTTGAAGAAATTGAGGGAAAAAAATCACAAAAATTTCTCAAGTATACCGACAGAACGACGAATGATGACAGTTTCATTAGCCGATAATAAAAAAAAACGACCTTGATTATAGAATTCACCGCTAACAGTTTGTCTTACATCCTTAAATTTATAAATCCACCCGATAAGGCTGAATTTACTGGTTAATCCTTAACGCGTGGTTGCGAACCGGCAGAGCGGGTTGTCAAATAATCCGCCGTCTTGCGGAAGAGACTAAATTCGCCATAGAAGTAAAGTGTAAGAAGATACTAAGGGTGAAAGTGAGAGCGAAGATAGAATTATTAAATAAATCGATGAGCATCGCGATAACCCCATATAGGAGAGACGCAAAGGGGGTAAAAAGGTTTCGTATACAGTTAATGGAAGCATCAACCCGATGCCGGCCCACAGGAAATACCCTTAAACTCTACGCAACCCTTACTCGAAGATACAGTTACCTATTCTTACCCTTAAAATAACCGCAATGCGTGGTTACAGTAGTTTTTCATTATATCGTTAAAATCGCTTAAACCTAGAAGCAACATCGAACATCGAAGACACTTACCGAGAAGGTTGTGAACGAAGATTTTTTTTTTTTCATTATAGCAAGATGGGACACGGAGGTATCGATGAAGAAAAAATATTGGCGAAGGACGATCGAGGAACGATCGAGGGACAAGGCACAAGTGAGTCAGAGAGGAAATCGTCTGAGGACCAATCGAAAAATCTTTCGTTAAATCCGCGACTTCGATTTAGTTTTCGTAACGAGCAGCTAATCTCAAATCAGCGCTGACACGTATAAATCCCATCTAATCCGCCTATTGGGACATCTATTCGAGTCCAATACCCGAAGTCCGTTACTCCTCGCCACGATCTTCCTGTCGAACGAAACTTTCTTCACGGTACTTACGTTAGTTCAATTCTTCGAACATTCGCAAAGATCATTCGAGATCGTCAGACGTTTAGGACAGAGAGGAAGCAACGCGGGACGATTTCGTACGGCGCTTATTCGCAATCGCATACCGATATACCTACCAGTACATATTTATGCATTTATGTAGTTATGCATTGATATATTCATGCGTACCCATAATAACGACAATAGAGCACTTAACCGTAACACACAAGTACTTTCATCGTAAAATATATTTATATAATAGTATCCCCATAAAGTGTCAGTTGTACAACGACCTGGTGTCTCGTGTACAATATGTCAGTATGCTGCAAATGCATTCCCGATAGGACAAAAAAGACATCCCGAAGAAGCGGCTAAAGTGAGTTGAAAAATTGTCCCGTTTTCAAAAAATCCAAAAATCAGCCAAATCAAGAAAGACCCACGAAATCAGCTTACCGATACGAAGTACGTAAATTTCGATTTTACCAATCGATCGATCGACTCGACAATACGCCGTTTAATATACGAAAAAGTTCTGTGGCTTTTGACTATCGATTATCGATCTAAACGCGACTCCGTTTATTTCTTCGTGACGTCTTTTAAAAATCACTCCCAACAGGAATCCGTGTCCTGTTCTGCTTTTCAAAAAACACATCGGCTGTAAAGTGCACCGCAATGAACCGACCAATGGCAATTGCATCGCGATATAGGAATCGGCTGAAACTTATTGTCGGCGAGTTTAAGCGAACGAGAGTAATTGGTTAAAGGATTTGAAATTGCGGCAGCAACGAAGGATCTAAGAGAAACGAAGACGAGGATCGCCTGGTGCCCCAAAGTACAATTGCGAGGGACATAATCTCTTAGTAATAAGAAAATCATGAGGATCGTATAAAGTCAAGGATATAAACACAACAAGAAATTATATTGTCATCGACGAAACGTAGAAAACAAAATATCGAAGATGAATTCCAATGAGATGAAATTAACGACTGAGTATTAAACGCCTTTTGTAGAATCGACTTTCCTGGACGAGATTATCGAAGAGTTAATGGCGGCGTGCGCCACATAGTTTTCCTAGATCCAATTTGTGTGTACTTTCCGGATAAGAAAAGGAAATAGAAAAAAAAAATAATAATAATATAACGAAAGGGCCAAGCGAACCAATGGAAAGGAGGAATCGATATTCGCGAGAAACGAGTGAACGGATGATCGTATAAATTAAGGTACAACGCGCGTAGACGTCGATGACAATGACAACCATAATAATAATAACAATTGCAATAATAATAATCGTAACGATAACCGTAATAGCTGCGATAATAATAATAATAATAATAATAATAATAATAATAATAATAATAATAATAATAATAATAATAATAATAATAATAATAATAATAATAATACCCTTAAATTACGAGGGAAGACAAAATCGTTTGGACAAATGGCAATAACGCTTAAACGCAAGTTTCGTAAATATATATATATATATCTATACATACCCTTACGTATATGCCATATGCATATACATCGTACGAGTATGTATTATACATATATCGTATAACGCTCTCTCTCTCTCTCTCTCTCTCTCTCTCTCGTTTTCTCTCTTTAACATTCACTCCCATTCATATCACGAATTATTATAACGCTACGTGTAAATTAAGTTAAATATAAAATATATTCTCACGTCGACTAATAAGGACTTTGTTGAGGTTGCACGTTATCGCAGAGAAGCGCGGATCAATGCACGTGATAACGTCGCAACGAGATTTCCCTTTATTTCTTTGAATTTATTTTTCAATTTGCTTTTTCATTCGACCACTCGCGTGTGTCGTTCACTGTTATCATTGTAATAACCAGTCTCTGACCCTCCAGAGCAAATGTGACTTCCTGACCCGCGTACGTAGCCGACGATCCTCCCAAACTGTCATCAGCCAATAAACGAAGAGTCGGTTGGCTTCGTAAATTTTACACGTGTCGTGGATTATCGTCAATGACATTCCGACAAGATAAAAAGAGATTCGAGCAACATATATCCTTTTTTTCCCCTCCTGGGATCCTCGTATGCTCATTCGTTAATAATCAGGTACATACAAGGAATCGTTATGAGAAATTGTAAAAATAAAAAAAATAAAAGAAGACTGGCGTGGCGCGCACGGAAACTTTCTTTACATCGGGACGATCGTCTAAAATGTCGCGGGCCTGGATGAGTACGAATTATCGATAGGCCGTTTTAACTACAGTTATTGATTAAATTATATATCGAGAAATGATAGTAGCTATCCTCCTAGTTTTTCTCTTTTCTTATCCTAGTTTTTCCTAACGGGCAATTCTACCTACGGTATTCGTCGCCTGCACTAGGTTCCCCTTTGTTTTCCATGTTTTGTAAATTCATCTATTCTCATAGAAAATCCTAAAGTGGACATTGCGGAGGCTACAGGAAAACCCTAGAAGCGACGGCTATGCGGATAGAAAATAAACTGAAATTTTGTCTACATACGTCAAATGAGATTGAACGATCAGCTCGGCGTGTACTTTATCTTCTCTTAATAATAGCCAAAGGAAAATTACTTAAAGCGCCATTTCGTTATAAACCAGCAAAGAGACGATTCTGCTTCGAGAGAAGTCTAGGCTCGACAATCATCAGTGGCCGTTCGGACCGTAAGACGAATTTGAGCAGGAACAGATTAATTGATAGTATCTTGTGCATCTAACAAACTTATAATTAAAGATTCGCTGTGCCGAAGAACCATTGCTCGATATGAATATCTCTACGTGTTGCGATGGTCAATGAAATTCGTTGCGCCATGAGAACTCAGTATAAATTTAAGATTCGGAATGAACGACAAGGTAATTCTTGAGGCATTAAACCCGAAGAGATAAATTTGACAAGATTTCACTCCGCGATAAACGTCGCGTGAGAAGTGTAAGTCGATGAGAAAAACAAAAAGGCGAAGCAGAGTCGTACCTTAAAAAAATTTCACAAGCACACACGCAGACAGTCCCAATAATTTACACATGCATTCGCACCATCCTTTCTTTTTCCATACTCAGTTTCTTCGCTAACATTAATTTGGCTCTAAACGATCGCGCTAGCTTTATGTATCCGCGGCTAATCAGCTTTTACGACTACGAATAGTGATCAGCTTATTACAATAGGTACGCTAAACGTTACCGGACTAATGTACATCATTAACAACATCAACGGCAACAACACATAATATTTCAACGCGAATTATAATTATTTTGTATAACTTTATCGCCTAAATATTTATGTATAAATACGAACTGGCGGACTTGGGTTCTCGATCGAAAGCTAAATATACATTATACATCAACGTGAAGATCGTGAAGACGATGAAGGATGACAAAGAGCTAACCGAGAATCGATCAAGGATCTATAGAATCACATTTTAATTCATTTTGATTTTTGATTATTAAACCTCGTGCGTCCTTCACGTTCACTATTCCTTGAACGACTTCCAGAAGCCTCCGGGTAAATCCACATGAACGCTGGTCGCTGCGACTCGTTGACAGAACAAAAAATTACAATTTTCTATTAAAGATTAACAAAATTACGTTTCCTCGCAACGATATCTCTTAACGTGAACGTAGCGACTGGCGTCTGGATTTACGGTTCGTCGAATAAGCTGATAACATGCTATTTCTAAAAATGACTCTTTCGCGACTACACTTATGTTTCTATACGACAATCTCCTAATATACATATATGTTATGCGTAACAATACGTTTTCTCTATACAAACGATACTCTCTCTCTCTCTCTCGCTCTCTCTCTTTCTCTCTCTCGTGACTTAGTAGTATATGCAATTACCCGAAATCTAAGTTTGGAACTTACGCCAACTTGGAAATCTGCACGAGGGATGAGGAACAGTCCTCCGATCGATAAAATAATTCCGTTTTCACCTCATTCCGCTAATGCAGCTAATCTACTACGATTTCTATTCTAATCTCCTTTGTCCAAAAAATGTTCCCACTTTTTATAGTCGATTTTTCGCCCACTGCGTCCCAATTACACACAGGCACACCCTTCTACGTAATTTCCACGGCTGACTTCGATCATCATTTACTCCGCAAAAACATCCCTTGTTACTCCCTTCCTTCATTCTCTCAAGACTCTCTCAATATGTTATCCGCGATGGGACAATTAACAGCGAGCCCGCGTCTACGTAGAACAGTCGAAGAAGGCAAAATAGGCAAAAGAACAGAAACATCTAAAACATTACTTCTCGAGAACAAGTGCAGAATAGCAAGCAGAGCCAACCGTGCGTCCTACAAAAATGGTAACTTCATTTGGACATAGCTAACTAATCGTCTAAACAACAATTCGCCTAACGCAAGACTAATGGCTATTTGTAAAACGCTCGCATTCCTCCATCTTCCCTTCGATAATAATATATAATAACAATAATAATAATAATACACTATTCTATGTATGTATCTACGTCTGTGTGGATGGTTCTCAGTGTTTTATAATATATTCGTATGTACGCACCTACGTGCCTGCGCATAAGGACTATCTAGAAATGCAACATTTCCTTAAGTTTAATCGGTACACTCACAACAAGGATTGAGTGTGTTAACGGTTGGTATTCGTAGTGCAATAAATAGTTCTGGGATTCTCGGTAAATATGAATATTGATATTGGCACGTGTCACAATATTCCTTGACTGATCGGATTGGACAAATAAGGACAACGTAGAAAGGACGCGACTTGGACACGTCACTCGATCAACAGTCAGAGCGAACATATATAGATCGGATTTGATTGACTTGAAATCAGGAGTGGCGATCGAAAATTCTTTTGTGACAAATTCTTTCTGTCGAATGACAATGTGACTATTATTTTTTTTTTCTTAATCGAAATAAAATCTTACATAACTTTCTCTACTCGTAACCAAGGGATGCGCTGAACTCGCCCAGGGCAAATCCGTTTCCGTATAGGATAAACGCGTCAGCATAAAGCAGCTTTCGCACTTTTCATTCCCCCTTATTTATTTACTGACTCGCTTCGCCGTTTACTTTATGCTTTCTCGAGGAATTCTTAAACTTCGCGATCCTACGATTGCTTTGAGATCCATTAATATCACAACGTGTCCCGCTATCGTTATCCGCTGACGGTTGGATTCGGACTGGCTTAATTATATTAACGAAGGAACAAGAACAGCTTGTTGCTGTGCTTTCGAAACAAAGCCAAGAAGCCACCGGAAGCTCTGACTCTGGTATATGGAAATCGAGCTCTCGCGTAACAATGAAACGAAAAATATTCGTTGAGCGAGATGGAGACCTTGCGGCTACTTGCAGCCAACAGTGACGCACTAAATCCGATCGCCGTTATCGGTTCTTCGTGTGTCAGCGCAATAATGAGAACACGCGATGCTCGTAACATTTTCGTACTAGGTTGGCAATAATTAATTTAAATTAATAGAAAATAAATAACGCGGTTATTACGAGTTTTGCAGTTTTACATATACATTACAGAATCTATCTTATGCGTGCGCTTTTTTGTGTTCTTTGTGTCGGCGTGTGTACAATATACATATGTATATATATTCATGTAGCGTTACAGTTATAATGAGAGTCCCTTCACGGTTATCTACATGTATATAGATTCGTATGTATATATTTTGTATATATATAACAATATATATATATATATGTTTGCGTCGTACGATTAGAAACAAGGAAAATGTTACGATTAAGTTTACTTTGTAACATTTTTTGATTGTCTTCCTCAAAGAGGTCATCCGACCAAGCAACCACATCGTCAGGCGCCCAGTCGATTCCGAATAGAACCAGTCGCCGTTCAGAAATACTGGGACCTTTCCTTCGTTCCATCCGTTTAGACTTATTAATTTGTTGCTTTTGTTTCTTTGTACGTTTGTACTCCTATCCATCGAGGCTCCTGAGAACGAGCGGCCCGAACTTTCATCGAGTGTGTGCGTCTCGAGTACGATATTTATATTACATTATTATTAATATATTTACAGTAAGTTTAAGTCATAAAAGTCACTTAAAACAATCATGGCTACTCCTTATCGATCAAAGGAGAAAAATAAAGAAAGAAAGGCAAGAATAAAAATGGCAAAGTAAATAAAAGAAAAAAAAAAATAGTGAGCGCTTGTGCGAAAATCAAAATTTATATTATTCCCAGCATTCCTAACGCAGGCTCGAGAGAAAAATGTCTTTATGCTGAATACTTTCGGTTGAAAATATATTAGGATCGCGTTGGAGCCCTACGCGTACACATCGCGTACTCTCTTTCTTTCAGTTCGTCTTTTCGCTATATAATATATCTTATAATATGTGTTCTCAAAGAGATTATTTCCTCTTGACTAAAACAAACGGAAAAAAATATATAAATAAGAAAACAGATTCGCGAACCCCCCCATAACGCCACTCTACCTCCTGGGTGTCAATTCGCACGAGCGTTGAGACGCACAATCCCGGTCGGGCGTCGCAGTCATATTTATGAACGACTTTAATCTGCCGTACTGAGTAACGTCTTATGTATATAACAACAAGGTTGAATCGTTATCCTCAAAAAGATGATACACTTATTTAGAATGAACTCCTACATAGACCAACTATCCGCTAATCTTACAAGACAGTCTCGGCATTTGCATCGATACGGTATTCGGGCGTATCCTGCGTTTCAGTTGCGGTTCACTTTTTTTTCCCTTTTCTTTCTCATTAATACTGTGTGAAAACACCCATGAATCCGCAGTACCACCCGATACACGAAACATCGAGCTACCACTTATTATTTACCAAATTTAACAGAAGGATCATCCATCAGGATCTCCTGAATGAGCTACGTTGCTGCCAGTGAATCCTGATGGACCATTTGTCCTTCCTGTACTGTCGCGCGGCCTCCCACACGCCGCGTTTAGAAAGTCGTAGAAACTGATTTACCTAAAGATCTCGGCGTTCCGCTGGTGTACACTCCGCAAATTCCACAAGGCTCCTATTTGATGAATGTTGCTGCCCATCCAAGGGTACTCGAAGTGATCTTCCGCGAGGAGATCAATCACAGCGCGAGTGGAGCTTGCTGGTCACGCACTTGCCGCGCCCACCGCTGACTTTAACCGCATGAATATCTGGAGGCAAGGATACGGGCTTCGTAAACGCGAAGGTACACGCGGTCAGGGATAAATACATGGACAGTGCTTGTCTATGATTCAAAGCGAGGTTAGTACGTGTTTCCGCTTAGAGATTCAGGAATACTGGTACCCCCTGATGGCGACAATGCAAATTCGCCACTTTCGAATTTACTGTAGCGGCTACTGTATTCAGCCTGTAGCGCAGCCTTCACCTGTAAGAACATTAATCTTTGAACTCTCTACAAAATCATTTGGAATGTAACCACGTTTATCGGATCTAAGACGTTCGAATGATTTCTCCTAGATCTTGCTGTGCTACCAGGATCAATATGTACCTTGTTTCTTTCTTCTTCCAACCTTTGTCGAACTTCCTCGTGTTGCCTTTCGAGCTCAGCTTGCTTTTTCTCATAAATCTTTGTCAGTCTGGTGCACTCGTTTACTCCCTTTTCCACGGTAGACTTGGCTAGTTCACGCTTAATACGGTCTAACTCAGCTTTGTCCTTATGCACTTTTGCGAGTTGCTTGACCTAGGAAAAAACACATTTTTAAGGTGCACGATTTGCTTTGGCCTTCTTACTTTTTTTTTTTACTTTCGCTATTTACTTCCTGCCGATTTTCCTACCTCTCCATGCCTCATCGTTTGCAGTTTACGCATCACGTCGGCCGTTTCACGCTCCAAAAGAACCCTCAGTGTTTTCAACTGATTCGACTGCGACGTTCTCATGACTTTTTCAACAGTCATGAATACGACTTCGTGATACTTCTCCTGCAGCTCGCGCTCCTGGATCACGTGTTCCTTGCACACTGTTAGCAAGCGCTCGCTTTGACTTCGTGGTAATCCTCGAGGTTGACCATCGACTCCCTCACGATTTTCTACTTCCGGACACTCCGAAGTCTCGGCCAGAGCAAGTGTACTCAATCCGACCTCACTTGAAAAACTAAATACGCAAACTATCAGGTACACTGCTCTACCCTGCGCTTCAATTGATACTTACATGTTCTTGCTGGATAATCGTTTCACCAATTTGTGACTCATGTAAAACTTGGATTTGTGTTTTTCGCCATCCAAGGATCCTTTTTGTGACTGTATCCGCATCTTCTCTTTCTCCTGTTTCTTCCTAAGTGACTCCAGTTTCTTCTCCAACTCCATCTTCTTCTCTCTTACGAGTTTGTTTTCCATTAGCTTTTCAAAAGATTCGGCAACTATTTCGTCGCTCACTAAAAAATAAGAATTTACCATTAAAAAATTCTCCAATTTCAATTAAGACACTTACTGTAATTAGCATTGATGGGACTCTTGTTTATGGCAGCATCGGCTGGCTGGATTGTGGGGCAGATCACGCCGTCCTCGACTTCTTGAGTTTCCGAAGCGTTGAGACCAGCAATGGATGGTCGACCATGCGGGCTGCCCGATGTGGGTAACAATCCCGGCAATTCACCAGCCGACTGTAATCTTTTAGCTTTGACAGTCTCGTCCTGCATGAGAATTAGACAGTTGCAACACCATCACCATGCATACAAACAAGGAATTCCACATGCAACAGACTTACTGTTGGTTTGGAGATAGTTGATCCAACACCAACTTTATCTTTATCCTAAAACATGTTAGTGGAGGTGTTAGTGTATTACTGGGAAAGGATGTTAAGGAAAAGATACATATAAACTCATTGCCGATATTCTAAGGAGTATATTTTGTTATATAATTTGTCAGGCAAAAGAAGAAAATCAAACTCACCTCAACTTCTCCTTCAGTCGGCTCTTCTAAATCATCCGTTAGCACAGCCAGTTGCTTTGACCTCTTCTCCAACTCGCTCTGATATTTGATCGGGTTTGCCAGAGCTTCAGCAAAATCGCTAAGACCATCTGGAACGTAATCTTTGACGATCACATGGAGGAAAAGACAGGCCAATGGTAGAGGTTGACCACACTCAGTTCTCAATGCAACGTGTCGATATCCTGGACATAGTCCGACAACGGGTAACACCCTATGACCTATCAGGCGACCGGATTCCTCGTACGCGGCTATTCGAATTGACGCCAATTCCGGAAGGACAACCTGTATATGTTCAATGCGTATAGGCGGAAGTCAAAACAATGCTGATAAGATCAAGCCATGTTATAAAATGAAAGACTGACCTTCTTGAAAACAAATGGTTCCTCGTCATAAACTGGATTGATTCCGTTATTAGGCACAATCTTGGTTCTGAACTTCTTCCTCACGGTATCCGCTGGTAATCCATACATATCGACTTCGACATAGGTACCAACTCTCTTGTCGGTGAGGAACTGTGCAGAAATAACGTGGATATGCACAGTGCCCGCAATTATTCCATCGACAGTAGATTCGGCGAAGGGATCCAACCGCCTATCCTTTCTCCTCATGAATTCCGGCTTAAGAAGATAGCCGCAACGTTGATTGTACTCGAAGATACCAAGATTCAATTGCATCGCGAGGTCTGACGAGTAATGAGAACATTTCTGGCATTGTTCCGAAGTACAGAAGTCCCAGGTCGCAATTTAGAAAACTTACCAAGAGTCTGATAGTTTAGAGCGACCAGTTGGCATCCGGCATTCCAAAAGACTTGAGGCATGAAGTTGCTAGAGTCGAATCTTGTTCCAGCTGGATAAACCCTGGATAACTGATGTTTATTATAGTTGACAAACTCGAGCGGTCTTTCCTTGAGTAACGTTGTCGCCTGTTTCTCGTCGAACGATGACATTTCGTACATACGGTTTTTTTCTGTTAAAAACGATTGATCGAGCACATTGATAAGAGTTAAATAAATCAATTAACTAACGTACAGAAACAAGCGATTTAATTTACATGTAACTCTAAAAATACACACGTACTTTCTGCCGTTTCAAAGCTACTGAAATGAACTGGCTGCACGTAATTGACTAGGGCTGATATTTCTGCACCAGCTTCTGTTTCCTTCGCCGTGGAAGCTGCTTTATCCGGAGCCGGCACTTTATCGTCCATTCGTAACTTAATATCCTCCACATTGGATTCGTCCTCTTCCGTACTCGACTCGTCCTCGTCATCTGGAACCCAAAATGGTCAATTTGAAACTCAGAAGATTAATCACAGAAATACCAAAAGTTAAGCGAATTTAATTACCAACCGTCATCTTCTTGAGTGCTATCTTTGCTGCCCTGACGTTGCTGAAGCATCGGCGCGTGTGGAATGTCTCCGTTTCCCATTTGCTGCTCACCACTTCCACCCACGACAACACCATCGAGGACTTCGTTCTGCGGTATGATATCCGGTGGAGGACCATTTTCGCCCTCTGCAGCCTGATTGACGATGCCACTGTCGTCGACCTCTTGCGAACTCTCACCAGCTTCCGGGATCTGCGCCGGCTGTTTCTTATGATGTTTCTTGTGATGATGATGATGGTGATGCTTTTTCTTGTTCTTAATAATAATCTTGCGTTTCAATAGCGACGGCGGTGGAAGTTCTTGGCCAGGTTCCAGCTATGGAAAAAAAAAAAACCAGTTACTGTTTGTAACAACTTGTTCATTCATTGCATCCTTTCATCGCAGCATCCAAACCTTGTGAGACTCGAGTGGAGCGTCCAGTAACATCTCCCCAAAATATTCCCTACAATATTGCGCGATCTTGGCCTGTTGCCTTGGATTACAGTGATTCTCAAAACTGAGAATCACTGGGAACTCTGATGTCTTAAAGGCACTCTCAGCTATCGCCTCTATCACATCCCGGGCGTAGATTTCAGGCACAAACGTGTATCTATCAGCAAAGTAGCAACAGGTCAAATATACAAACACAATCTTCATAATGATAACGCTTGGCATATTACCCGTGAACAATAACGGGCTCATCAAACTTTCCATTCCAAAAGTCTAGCTCGACGCAACGACATCCCGCGAGCAAACACTGACGATAAATCTCGACGGAACTCTTGCCGGTTAGTTGATGACCTGAAATATGAGACATTTAACCCTTTTAGTGCCGGGCGAAAAACAGCTGCTTATTGCGAAGATAACCGGCCGAATTTTACGATTTTACTAGGATTTTGGAAAAGGCTCGTAAAAACCAAACGAAAAGCAACATTTACATAATTCAAAAAGCAGTGTATTAAGGACAAAATAGAGAATAAAACAGTGGCGCTAATTTTTCTATATTCATTGAAAATAACATAAATAACAAAGGTATAAGTGATCAAAAAAATAGAGAAAAATTGAGTTCTCTGTTTCAAAACATAATTGAAACACACAGAAAAAGTCATCTTTTTATCATAACTTTATATAGACCGTTAATTGTAAAGTATATACTTTAAATTTCCAATATATTTTTTAATAAAATACGTAATATTGCACGAGAAACATAAAAAATAAAAATCCGATAAGGGTCCCACGACGCCGCGCCGGCCGCCCGTGTCGAATTTCTACCGTATCGCTCTCGCGTATAAATAAGCAGTCTCAACGTCAACTGGCATAGAATATAAGGGAAAATTAAACCGAAAAATTATTTATTTTAATTCTCTCGTAATAAAATTAGACTATTTGTAACGTAATATAAATTTATTTTGAGATAGAAATCTCTCGCAATGCGAATAGTAAAGCGCTACAAGGTGCGGGCCGATATATCGGCTCTGGCACTTTTTGCCAGTGCAGCGCGGCCCGATATATCGGCCTCCGGCACGAAAAGGGTTAATACGGCGTTTCAAAAGCTAGAGAATTTATGTGTAACGCATGAAAAATTTTTACCTGTCAGATAAGTGTTATGACTGGAGTTGATAAAATAGTGAGCGAGTGGCTGATCCATATCATCGGATAATTCAAATTTGGATACAGCTACAATTGGATTGTCCTCGCTCATGAGGTATCTCAAAAATCCATCGAAACTCAATTGCATGCGACTGGCGTTGTACTTGTTCGGTTCGTATTGATTAATCAGATCCTTTGCACGTGCTGCGTTCGCATACGGGTAGAGTATTTCATTCAGTCGTGGATCCCTCTGGGTCTGGTTGAGAAATTCAACGAGCTGCGAGACGGACATCAACCTGCGCTTGGAATTGCCGACGATTTCCTCGAATACCTTCTCGACCTCGGCACGCTGCGTGAGGGACTTGTAGAAATTGAAGAAATCCTCGAACTGGAATTTCTGCAGGGAGATAGCGTCGTTCTGCAATAAAGTCAATTATGCCACAATAATGATTAAACCTTGATACGCATCCAATTTTCAGCGACCTTGCATGAAACGTCGAAAATATTCCTATAAAACGATTATGCATTTTCTTTAGTGACATTTTCAACTCTACCCGAAAGCTTAAAGAAAGATTAAACGAATTTATCGTTTCCTCCGTTATTATTGGCTGAATGCCAAAAGCATAATCTGGAAAAATATTCTCACCCATCTCCACGACCACGCAATTCAGCTAATCTTCACACGCGAGCGAATTTCATACACGGTTGCACTGTGCGCCAGACGCGAATCAATCATTCCAAAAGTCAATAATGGATCGATCGAGTCACGTTGACATCAGGCAGCTGCTTTGAATTACAGGTTCAGCGTTCATTCATATCAGTTGAACAATAGAAGAGAAAATCCCCTCGCGGTAAGTCAAAACCACAGTTTCGTCACGCGTTACAATTTACAAGAACAGAAGGTAGGAGCGACAAGCTTCAGAAATTTTACGCTTGAGAATACGTTAAAGTGTCAGGATGAATTAAACGCGGCCGCAAGGTCGGCAGGAAACAATGAAAATAAAAAAGGTTTAATGCTCCGGTAGGAGGTAAAGCTGGATTCGTGCCAAGACAAAAATCAACTCGATAGAAACGAATGACAGCTCCTCCGCTCTGCCTCCGAATTGGGAGCTGAGAAGCATCCGGTGTCTAATAAAAATGACAAACAGTAAAAATATTGGAGAGAAATGACCCTTTGCTTATGAAGTATCCACCTTTTCGAGATAACTATTTTTTCAAGACTAATGGTGTCCAACATTTATTTGAAAATGGATAGGAAAGGACACTCACCTTTCCAGATGGCAGAGACGATATATCAAGAGCCTTTTCAACGCGCTTGCGATCCTCTTTATTTTGTGCGAACATCTTGATAACACTAGAAAGTATTAAATAACAATTACAGCTAATTGAAAACCAAAGGGTGCTTCTTCTAAACGAACCGGACTCGAGTCGATGGAATGTAAAATTCCGTCGAACGCAGTCGGTACGTAGACATAATATAAACGGTTTCTTCATTATTCCGTTTAAATACGGCGCATCGTAAACAGTAAACAACCGCGGATGAACGGGAAACCATGACGTTTGACAAACAACGCGGAGTATGCTATTTTTATTCCATAGGATATCCACACTTTCCTTTTTTTTGAATTGCGGTATTTCGAAGAAGCGTGCTTTCCTCTCCATGTCGGAGGCGGGCAGGAATAACAAACGTGGGCGGAAAGATTACAAGACAGGACATTGTTATCCGTTGTGTCGTATCTATCCGATTGCACGGAACAAAACTTACTTTTTCACTGATATCTTTGCGGACTTGTCGGCTGTAAGTGTGAGCTTCGTGTGCGCTTTTTGTAAGAACATAATTGTGCTTGTATTGAGCTGCGTCAAATTGTACGCCAGATGAAACAGCTGATCCGTCCAATGTCTAGCAATCTCTGCTCGCGTCGTGCAGAAATTAATGAACGTCACGTTGACGAAGTCCGAGCTGTAACACACTGTCACGGTCTTCTCTTCCAAGCAGTCTTGGGAGCCCACCGTTACAAGAGACTTCAGTTTTGGATCCTAAGCAAATAAAATTGGCTATATGTAAATACGTGCCAATGGAAGAGTATATCTCTTACGATGTTACACAGTATACCAGGTCGATTTCTCTATCAGAAATGAAGCTGAATCAGAACCGTGAACAGAGAAGGAATAAAGAGAGAAAGTAGTATGTCCGCCAGTAACTGACAATAGATTTTTGATCCGATTCCACAATCGCGGGAAAAGCTATAATGAAAAGCAACGCGATGAAAAGTTCATAAACGTGCGTTTATTGATTTATGTAAGAGGAAAGTTTGAAGCGATGTACGACAGCTTTGTTCCTTTCTATAGGGGAAGCAACATTATTTTCCAGGGTAAGCAAACGTAGGCGTGACTCGGGAAAGAAAAAATTATATATCTATAGGGTGCAAGACAGGCAATGTTCTATTTATAATTTTGTCAATAATTATTATGTGTCGGTACTGTGCGTCATTAGCATCTACGCAAAGGCAGAATATAATTATAGTTGAGAGATCGCAGATAATTTTATACAATACTCAAGATTGTACCGTATGGCGAGGATAAAAGTAACTATCGGCTTGTTAAGGACCACCAATTCTAGTCGAAAAGTCTCTCACTGACTATCTCTCTCTTTCTGACCCTCTTTCGCTTCTCTCTTCTTTCCTTCTCTTTTGTTCTTGCTGGCGCTTCCCCTAATGCAGAGACGCGAACTCCTGCCAAATGAATTCGACGAAATCGTTACCTTTGGTATCTTGGCATATTTTCCAGTCCGTGTATCTCTGATCGTGGCTATATCAAGCATGTCCATTTCGTTGTGCTGGTCCACCCAATGCAAATAAAAGCCGTACTTGTCAACCCGCAAAGTGACTGGAGTGGCGACTCCCGAATCCTATAAAGAAAATAATAGTCTCTGAAGCCCTTGAGAAACAGCATCTTAAAATAAATTGTAAAATCCTCCACTAGCATAGCTCACTCTTACACAAAGAGCAGTGTTGCATCATGCCTAGTCGCATTTTTTGTCTGTTCAAAAAGCATATGATAAATTGCTAGAACAATTCTATATTGCTGTACTAAATATTAGCGAATCGCTTTTAGCGTGAAATATTGCGAAAAGGAATCAACTTTGGTAGATCTGTTGATCGACAGCCACCCACGTTTTTTGGGACGACCCTCGAATAGATTTGCTACTTGCCAATAAATTTTGCGAATCGTTTTCGACTCGTGACAGCATCAACGATTGGCATCGACTGTTTTTAGTGACTGCCTTTGAAAGAAACAGATTGATTTATTTTTCCTCAGAAGAAATCAGACCTCTTGGAATTCAAATAGAGCAATAATTATGGTTAGATTTCATGGAATCTATCTTGGAGCATATATGACTCATTCTCATTAGAAATGAAATATGTTGTTGACATAAGATGCTAAAGAGAGGACATTGAAATCTATGAAAGCCTCAGCACGTTAACCAGTAGTTAAATTGGTAGTCATCCTATTCACTGACACTGTGTTTACATAAAGCAGCTTCAGGTGATTAGTAGATAACATTAAAGGAACTTGCTGACGTCTTCTAGGAAGTTTGAAAACAAGACAGTATCTATGTGCAATAAAATTTAAAGCTCATAAGTTATAGACTTCAAACCAAGCAGACTGCTAACAATAAAAAGAATCTTGAATAAGTAAACTATGTGTGAATGCATGGCTAGATTTTGGTCAAGGACAATCACTTTAAGCACGAAACCTAATTCCAACTTGTCCAAACATCAGATTTTGCTTAGGCTCATTGTTTAAAAACTGATAAAAAGAATGAGCAAAAATCATGCTTTTTTTTCATCAATTAATAACCGTCGCGGTATATTTTTACTCCTGCCAATAAACCTCTTTGGTATATTTTTATTACACGTTTCTGTAAACGTCAAACACTACTCGTCTGTAAGAAGAAAATAGACACATGCAGTATTTCCAAATTTTGTCAAAACTCTAACGAGAATCATGCTGCCCACAACTGACATCCGATATGAATATAAAGAAGTAAGTTTGCATAAGCTTGAAAGCGTTTCTTGACTATCCTTAGAACCGTAACAGCTTCTACAAATTTACCTGTGAACCAATTTGTCAACTTAGCCAAGGATCCAATAGCATTATTAATCAGATAACAGGCAAACAAATAAGAAGGCACACCGACCTCATCCCACTTTACGAATTTCTCGCCATCCTGGAGTTGCTGTGAAACCTCAACAGGCTTGGTCTGAACAGCATTAGCCAAGCACTTGGAACCCGACATGATTCCTAATTCCAGTGCGTGTTCCTTGAATGTAAAGTATCCGCAATCCTGGGATCGAAGATTCCTCAAAACGTTCCAGCGACGTGCAGGACGATGAGGACAGATGTCAAATATCCTTCGTCCAGGTTGGACAAGACCGCGTCTAGCGTGGCAACAATAACCCAGTGCACATTGGCCGCGTTGTAGCGATGACGATAACAACGACGACAACAGCGACGACTCGGAATACCAGGAGCAGAACGATGACAACGACTACTGCTTTCGGCGAGGTCGTCCGTAGCGTAGCGGGAATGTCAACGGGAATTAAGCAGCCGACGTAAGCCCGTGAGTTTCCCTTGGGCAGAACGCCGACAACACATCCTGACCTGGTTGAATAACTCAGGGTGCAGAAGCCCTCACAGAATGTATCAGAAAAACGGCCCTCCTCTGGCCAGCTCTGGGCCTATCTGCCTTCTGCCTTGCCCAGCAGACGATACGATTAGTCGTGTCTCGCACTCGCACCCTTACCACGGACGACTCGCGCACTCACTCGCGCACACTACTCAGAACAACCGGTCATCCTCCACGAGTCTCCACCAATCCACCAAGGCCTACTTTAGCGCTGGTCTGACTCCAGTAACTAAACGTCAGGCGGCGCCACGAGGCTGCTCTCGCGATTGCGGATAGCGATATACACACGCGCTTATGTTGCTTTTAAATTGATTTTGACGAAAAGCACCTTCCTCAAAGAGCCTTCCTAGGCCTTCCTGACTTTTAGTTTCCCCTTAACAAACTGTTGCATCAATCCGCAGCCGTTCCTATTTCAATAAATACTTAACTCTGTTCTTCCGAATTACGCTGCTTTCTGATTGAACTACTCGAGCACGGCAATTTGCATGATCGTAGGTAATTCTGAATCGGATTCCAGAGTAGATAATAAAAATAGGAGCCCCTTAATGGTACTAGACTAAAACATTTCGACACGGGAACGTACCGTTAACACGAATTCAGCCAAACACATAAAAGAACACTGGAATAGTCCTACGAAGTTCAAGTCAATTTTGTTGAGTACCGCAGATTTACTTAACGTTCCGAATTATATTTATTCTTTTTTTCTATCTCCTTTTATGATTGAAACCTGGGATAATGGAAATAGTATGTTGCTGGTTCATGTCCGGCACTTGTGCTCGTCTTTAACTTAATTTGACAGATGAGACGGGAGTGGTGGAGACTTTCCATCGCCACCATTAAATCAATCGACCGCTATAAAGTGTGTCCACCATCTGAACATTATCCTTGCCCTATTCATGGAGCACACCCTCAATTACGATCCAAGTCGAATTGTGAACAGAGGCTAGGCAATAATAGAACGGGTGACCTAAAAACTCCAGGGCGAAAGTTAGGGGTCGGTTTATTGACAAGGCATTTTTCTTTGTGGCATAGACCCTGCTCTTTAGACGGTTAGATAATCACGCTATGGGAATATTAACGAATTAGTCTTGATATTCGCATTCGTGGGTTTCACTTGGATGGTACAAAGCTAATGATCCATAATGATTCTGCGGATAAATAGGTATATTGGGAATGGTCAATGATTAAAATCTCAAAAAGTGAATAGTCAACATTTTTTAAATATAGCTTTATAATTGTCATCACCGTTACAATGAAAAATCTTCGCCGACGCGACTAGAGAACCTAAGCCCTTCCCTCGACATCTATCAAACAAAAGAGATGCACTGCACGGCACCTGCTAAAACTTCTTAAACAATGAAAAATTTTACGACGAGGAATAACAATATTTTGAATGTTGCGTGAAAGAACGTTGAGATTTCCCAAGAGATGAAACCACTGTTGGATTGAGACGATAGAAATGAGTGAAGATCTTTCAATAAATTATGGAACTTATACCAGCATACAAAACAACAAATGATACGTATAAAATACAGTTAAACAAAGTGTTATCACACAAGAATTTTTATTTCTAAGACCTAAAAGACGACCACATCGTCGTCACTTCTGTTGATCGGATCTCCCTTTAAGAGCGCAATGATTATACTGAAACATGAAAAATAACATTGAATATTCGCTAGGCAAACAATTCCCGTGAAGATTCTCCGAAAAATTACTAACCAGTAGAGATATATGAAGAAGAATATGAGATAATATCCTAGATAGATCATACAATCTCGGAAGTGAACCTTGAGTTGTCCATGATTATGAATTTCCGTGGGATCGTAAACACCCATATTACCCATAGGTACGGTTAAGAACTCGTAGGCGAGCCAAAAGGTCATGGGTAAATTCACTAGTGTTAATATCCAGTGACCGTGCAGCAGCATGAGAAGAACAATAAATACGTGAGCTATTAACTTTGGCATTACCCACTGAAACAGATAAATAAAATCAGACACGCAATAACAACATCGGTACGAGAAATGAATGCTGTGTGATGCAACTAAATTGTTCAACGAGATCTCTGTTTAAAAAACAGATCTCTAATCCCATATACTATTGATCGCGTCCTTTGCATCGCCATATAAATTGCTATTATTAACCCTGATGAAAAGTGAGGGAAGACTGTAAATCATTATAACGAGTTTACCCTATTCAATTTGGAGCAGCATTGCGGAGCATTCAGATAATCGCACTCAAGATCCGATAATGTGATTACCTATATTAGCTATTAAGGAAACTTTCCAAGGATTGTAATACTAGGCTTAATTATGTTTACATAATTTATCGTCAGGTTTTATAACTATTGATCGTTGCAAAAATGATTCCTTTTTCGTTAGATCAAGTTGCCAAAACTAAGCGCGATTTCCAAACAGTCGGGAACTGAAACATAAAATTCTATGAATTTAAATCGTGGCGCCACAGGCGCAAAGCACAACATTTCATCCGCCTGATAGTCTTTATTAGTATACTTCAGTGTTTTAACACAGGCCGAAAATATAACCATCTGAAACTCCCTATGCAAATGACAGAAAAACAACAAACGATAAATCACAAAACCTTTGTTTGAATTTTACTTAAAACGTAATAAATGTAATAGTTAATTTATGAAAAGGATACAAAATAAACCAGAAGAAAGAGCACGGCCCCAGTATCCACCAATGCAAACGCGAACAACAACGGTTCTGAAATCATCCTAGTTACTCTTGAATAATAGCAAAAGTACACTGAGAAATAGACCCGTTCTGTTGCTCGTTCATTCGTCTACTTCCAGTTCAGATTGACAACTCTTCAGAACCTTTTATTATGCTATTAGCAGCAAGCAAGTTAACCACCAACCGTGGAATATTAAAACTACGAGCGACGTCGTAACTAATCGTAATCAGAAATGAGTAGGGAGATGCGCAACGCTACGGTTTTAGGCGATACCAAAATCATGGCGCTAAATCTTAGTGGCGCGTTTTGCAACTAGGATTTTGTCATCCTCGCCTCCGTCGACAATGCGAATCCCGTCGTAGCCGAGCTAAACGTGAACACCAACGTGTAGCTTGGCGGGCAGAGGTTCTCCGCTACTCACCGCTGGTTCCCAAAGCAATCCTTAGAACGAGATCGGGAACTACAGAACTTCTCAAGAACAATTGAAAAAGACTATTGTTGAAACAATCTTAGGACATTTTTAAGAAAATCCGTTAAACACTTGACACCCGTGTAGCACCTCAATTTTTGAGAAATGCTTCATCAGTGCTAACTTTACGTAGGTAAGAAAAAAGCGTTCGTCCAGAAGCCCAGTATTGGCAATTGATTTTCTGGTACTTGGCCCTCTATCAGGGTATAAAGCCAAAAAGGAATAAGAAGAAGAAGGAAGAGAGAAGAAGACGAAAAAAAAAATTAGTTACACAGAAATATCGAAAAATTGAATAAAGCTTTCCGAATACTACTAAATATTATTGGATCTTGAATTACTTTCAAAATTTATACAAAATATACAATTGATGATAAATCAAAATCTCGCAGAATATACGGAGTAGATAAAAATTGAATTGAAATTGTAGAACATCGAAATAAAATTACGTTCAAACTGAAATATTAATAAATTAAGTGTCTGGTACATTAAAGAAATTAATGAAATCAATAAAGTGAAATATTAACACTTCGAAATCGGAAATTCTGGCAAAGCATATTTAGAAGTACTGGAAGTTGCCCAAAATTGTGTGCGCGCAAATTTTTCGCGCAGGACACGGAGAGCGGGAGCAGGCGGCGAGTGGGAGCTGGCGGATGGTGGGGGCGCTCGAGGCAGGGCCCGGACTCGGAGCGCTCATTCTTCCTCGAGCTAGTCTCCTATACTGGTCTCTTGGAATTACCTCTCCTATCCATTGCCAACTTTCTTCTATTTCTATATTTATTTCTTCTTTACTTTCTGGTTTACGTCTTTCCTTATTTCTTCTCTACTTTTTAACTTCTTTATTTCTATCTTCCCTTCTGTCTTCTCATTCGCTCATTCTTCCTCGAGCCAGTCTCCTATACCGGTCTCTTGGAATTACCTCTCCTATCCATTGCCAACTTTCTTCTATTTCTATATTTATTTCTTCTTTACTTTCTGGTTTACGTCTTTCCTTATTTCTTCTCTACTTTTTAACTTCTTTATTTCTATCTTCCCTTCTGTCTTCTCATTCGCTCATTCTTCCTCGAGCCAGTCTCCTATACTGGTCTCTTGGAATTACCTCTCCTATCCATTGCCAACTTTCTTCTATTTCTATATTTATTTCTTCTTTACTTTCTGGTTTACGTCTTTCCTTATTTCTTCTCTACTTTTTAACTTCTTTATTTCTATCTTCCCTTCTGTCTTCTCATTCGCTCATTCTTCCTCGAGCCAGTCTCCTATACTGGTCTCTTGGAATTACCTCTCCTATCCATTGCCAACTTTCTTCTATTTCTATATTTATTTCTTCTTTACTTTCTGGTTTACGTCTTTCCTTATTTCTTCTCTACTTTTTAACTTCTTTATTTCTATCTTCCCTTCTGTCTTCTCATTCGCTCATTCTTCCTCGAGCCAGTCTCCTATACTGGTCTCTTGGAATTACCTCTCCTATCCATTGCCAACTTTCTTCTATTTCTATATTTATTTCTTCTTTACTTTCTGGTTTACGTCTTTCCTTATTTCTTCTCTACTTTTTAACTTCTTTATTTCTATCTTCCCTTCTGTCTTCTCATTCGCTCATTCTTCCTCGAGCCAGTCTCCTATACTGGTCTCTTGGAATTACCTCTCCTATCCATTGCCAACTTTCTTCTATTTCTATATTTATTTCTTCTTTACTTTCTGGTTTACGTCTTTCCTTATTTCTTCTCTACTTTTTAACTTCTTTATTTCTATCTTCCCTTCTGTCTTCTCATTCGCTCATTCTTCCTCGAGCCAGTCTCCTATACTGGTCTCTTGGAATTACCTCTCCTATCCATTGCCAACTTTCTTCTATTTCTATATTTATTTCTTCTTTACTTTCTGGTTTACGTCTTTCCTTATTTCTTCTCTACTTTTTAACTTCTTTATTTCTATCTTCCCTTCTGTCTTCTCATTCGCTCATTCTTCCTCGAGCCAGTCTCCTATACCGGTCTCTTGGAATTACCTCTCCTATCCATTGCCAACTTTCTTCTATTTCTATATTTATTTCTTCTTTACTTTCTGGTTTACGTCTTTCCTTATTTCTTCTCTACTTTTTAACTTCTTTATTTCTATCTTCCCTTCTGTCTTCTCATTCGCTCATTCTTCCTCGAGCCAGTCTCCTATACTGGTCTCTTGGAATTACCTCTCCTATCCATTGCCAACTTTCTTCTATTTCTATATTTATTTCTTCTTTACTTTCTGGTTTACGTCTTTCCTTATTTCTTCTCTACTTTTTAACTTCTTTATTTCTATCTTCCCTTCTGTCTTCTCATTCGCTCATTCTTCCTCGAGCCAGTCTCCTATACTGGTCTCTTGGAATTACCTCTCCTATCCATTGCCAACTTTCTTCTATTTCTATATTTATTTCTTCTTTACTTTCTGGTTTACGTCTTTCCTTATTTCTTCTCTACTTTTTAACTTCTTTATTTCTATCTTCCCTTCTGTCTTCTCATTCGCTCATTCTTCCTCGAGCCAGTCTCCTATACTGGTCTCTTGGAATTACCTCTCCTATCCATTGCCAACTTTCTTCTATTTCTATATTTATTTCTTCTTTACTTTCTGGTTTACGTCTTTCCTTATTTCTTCTCTACTTTTTAACTTCTTTATTTCTATCTTCCCTTCTGTCTTCTCATTCGCTCATTCTTCCTCGAGCCAGTCTCCTATACTGGTCTCTTGGAATTACCTCTCCTATCCATTGCCAACTTTCTTCTATTTCTATATTTATTTCTTCTTTACTTTCTGGTTTACGTCTTTCCTTATTTCTTCTCTACTTTTTAACTTCTTTATTTCTATCTTCCCTTCTGTCTTCTCATTCGCTCATTCTTCCTCGAGCCAGTCTCCTATACTGGTCTCTTGGAATTACCTCTCCTATCCATTGCCAACTTTCTTCTATTTCTATATTTATTTCTTCTTTACTTTCTGGTTTACGTCTTGTAAAGTAAAGTACCAGCCTGATACAGGTGATTTTCGAATTAATTTCGGAATTATTTTATCGGAGAAAGTTCGCTCGTTCTCTCAAAGATGGCGCCACATATCATGCCCAGGAGGTGCTGCCCTCTTATCGGTGAAAATACTATAGTGGTGATATATTTAATATATCTTTAATGGTACTGTTATTGCTAATCTGTCGCAAACCATATATGTACATATGTACTTTGTATACTGTATCATTATTACGTTTGTCGAATAAATTATCTTGTAACACTCGTACACTTTTCAAATCTCCTATTCCTTCCTATTCTCCATCACTCTCCTTGTAGTATATTCTTAAAAACTAAGTTTTTAAAATGTAATTTGGAAAATGAAAAGTTTAAAGTGGTAGCGCATGTAACATACCACATGTGTTATATTGTAATGATATATGTAATGTATGTCTAATGGTACTGTTATTGATAATCTTTCGGAAGCCATATACCACATATGTACATACATCTGTACCTCATATACTGTATCATTATTGCATTTGTTTAATAAATTATCTTGTAACACATATACACGTTGTAATTCTTTTACCTTCTGCGAATATCCCAGAGTAAGAATGAGTTCTGACTCTCTCTTACACTCCTCCGTCCTAACAGCATCCTTTTCCTTCTCCTCCAGCATTATGCTTCTACACCTCTTCTCGGCTCTGCTGCATTTTCTCTGCCATTACTTTCATTCCATCTGCATGTTGCAAAA